CGTGGCCATCCCCCCTCAGGGGATGATGTCTCGTTTTCTGTCTCTCTGTCTTTCTGGCAAGCGCACACACCCTATAGCAAAAACCTCTCTTAAAAAAAAAAAAAAATAGAGCAGGCAGACCAAGAGCATTAACCACTAACAACTACTTATGATGGCGTATCCACTTCATGCCACTTACATCTTACTGTTATCTTTAAGCACTCCAAAGTTTGAGTCTTCCAAAAAGTCATTACATATTTTTCTGTTCTATTTTTTTTTTTATGTAAAAATGTGTCAAGACTTTTCCAAGAACCAATAGAAGCCTTGCCTGTCTTCCTTCCTGTCTTTTCAATGAAGCAGGAACAAAATTTACATCTTTTGAAATAGTTACTTGTTTGGCTGCTAACACAATGATTTGTCTAATACCATGAGCAAACCCATCTTAAGACAGGGTGTTTTCAATTACACTGTAGTATGCGGTCTGTCACTTTATAACACAAAACTATGTCAATCATACACATTTTCTAAGACACCATTAATGAGTAACTGTCACTACTGCTCAGTGGTTTACTTGTTGAATTTTATGCAAAACACTCAGTCCACTTTAGTTGCGAGGACTATGAGGCTATGTGCAGCCTCCTAAAATAATGCCAACGTATAAGTTATAATCAAATATATTTACTACAAAAATTCAAATCACACTGAAAACGTTTAAGAATAAAACAACACCCTTGTTAAATTTTCCTCATTTTTCTATGACCTCATAAAGTACATTCAAATGGTCATTTGAGGGCCTTTCATTGCAACTATCAATACCGCAACCATGGTCACTAACAGCTGCTGAGCCTGATCAACTTCAAAGTATATAATTAATATAAAACTGGCATTGAAACACAAGTCCTGCATATAAATGTAAATTAAATTTTTTTTTTTTATAGGAGCCAGCATCTGCTGTGGTGGTTAAGGCGATAGACATGGTTGACCAGGGCTTGGGAGTCCAAGTCTGATGGCTTGAAAATCAGGCAGGGGCTGAGATGAGAATGGAGAAGGGACAGTGGCATGGCCTTTCCCGCCAGGGGGTGATTTCTGACTTTTCCTCTCACTGTCCCTCTGTTCCCTGCCTTCCATGGCAAAATCCTAAAAAAAATCAAAGAAACAAAAAGTCCTCTCTTTAAAAAGAAGTTGATTCACATTAAGTACTGGATGCAAGTCTTGGGAGAGCAGGAACACTATTTAGGGCTAGTAGGCAAGCGCACACACCCTATAGCAAAAACCTCTCTTAAAAAAAAAAAAAAATAGAGCAGGCAGACCAAGAGCATTAACCACTAACAACTACTTATGATGGCGTATCCACTTCATGCCACTTACATCTTACTGTTATCTTTAAGCACTCCAAAGTTTGAGTCTTCCAAAAAGTCATTACATATTTTTCTGTTCTATTTTTTTTTTTATGTAAAAATGTGTCAAGACTTTTCCAAGAACCAATAGAAGCCTTGCCTGTCTTCCTTCCTGTCTTTTCAATGAAGCAGGAACAAAATTTACATCTTTTGAAATAGTTACTTGTTTGGCTGCTAACACAATGATTTGTCTAATACCATGAGCAAACCCATCTTAAGACAGGGTGTTTTCAATTACACTGTAGTATGCGGTCTGTCACTTTATAACACAAAACTATGTCAATCATACACATTTTCTAAGACACCATTAATGAGTAACTGTCACTACTGCTCAGTGGTTTACTTGTTGAATTTTATGCAAAACACTCAGTCCACTTTAGTTGCGAGGACTATGAGGCTATGTGCAGCCTCCTAAAATAATGCCAACGTATAAGTTATAATCAAATATATTTACTACAAAAATTCAAATCACACTGAAAACGTTTAAGAATAAAACAACACCCTTGTTAAATTTTCCTCATTTTTCTATGACCTCATAAAGTACATTCAAATGGTCATTTGAGGGCCTTTCATTGCAACTATCAATACCGCAACCATGGTCACTAACAGCTGCTGAGCCTGATCAACTTCAAAGTATATAATTAATATAAAACTGGCATTGAAACACAAGTCCTACATATAAATGTAAATTAAATTTTTTTTTTTATAGGAGCCAGCATCTGCTGTGGTGGTTAAGGCGATAGACATGGTTGACCAGGGCTTGGGAGTCCAAGTCTGATGGCTTGAAAATCAGGCAGGGGCTGAGATGAGAATGGAGAAGGGACAGTGGCATGGCCTTTCCCGCCAGGGGGTGATTTCTGACTTTTCCTCTCACTGTCCCTCTGTTCCCTGCCTTCCATGGCAAAATCCTAAAAAAAATCAAAGAAACAAAAAGTCCTCTCTTTAAAAAGAAGTTGATTCACATTAAGTACTGGATGCAAGTCTTGGGAGAGCAGGAACACTATTTAGGGCTAGTATACTCTCACTGAAAAGGAAATTCGTTTTACATTTCCCATTCAGTAAGGATAAAACTATGCTGTTTAGGGCACCGAAGACTGTCACTTAAGACAGTATTAACAAAAAGCAAGACTTCTAAGCAATTACAAAGTTGCACACTCGAGCCTGAAAGGTTACTTCCGGGGCAATGAAACGCTGCCGCGCCAGTTTCCCCTTTCCCAGAGCTACCTTCGAGCGAGCGGTCCGAGCACACGGCCCACGTGGTTCGCGACACCGGCGGTCTAACTCTCCAACGTCAGCCCTGCGCCCCCGCCTCCCCCTGCAGAGGCCCGGGGCTCGGGGGCGGGGCCGGCGCGCCAGGCACGTGGGCGACGCGCGCGGGCGCCC